GAATTTCTCCTCTTTGCAAAGTGATGGTCAAAAAAGCTCATTCGCTTCTGTTGTCATTGATTTAATGTTCGGCCGGGTTTTGCTGTGTYTCTCTGAGTTCCTAGGTTAAAAAACCCGAACAGGACCGGAGTTGGACATGACTGGTCTACACCAACGTCCACACCAACGTCTATGCCAACGTCCACTCCTACGTCTATACCAATGTCCACTCCTATGTCCACACCAACGTCCACACCAACGTCCACTCTGTCTAAGCCAACATCTACACCAACGTCTACACCAATGTCTATGCCAACGTCTACACCAACGTCTACACCAACGTCTTCACCAATGTCTATGCCAACTTCCACTCTTACGTCCACACCAATGTCCACACCAATGTCCACTCCTACGTCCACACCGTCTAAGCCAACGTCTACACCAAAGTCTACGCCAACGTCCACTCCTACGTCCACACCAACGTCCACTCCTATGGCCACAACGTCCACACCAACGTCTACTTTGTCTATGACAACGCCCACACCAATGTCCAAGCCAATGTTCTCACCGACGTCTCCATGATGAAAATTGTCMTCATAGAGATGTAGAACCAGTTCCTCAGCGTAAAACCAACAATTATTGTCCAGATCTGGTGTTCCCAGTCAGAAAGTTCCATCACGAATATCTGGTTCCAGTTCAAAGATGGAGTTAAGCCAAGAACTCTAGTCCAGATGTGGTTTTCTGAGTCTAGAAAGATCAGCAGGATTAAGAAGCAGTCTAGAGATGCTAGTAAATGAAATCATCTTGTTTGAAGCTGTTTCAAASTACAACATCCAGATGTTTCTCTAAAGATTTACTTCCTGGTGTAAAGTTAACAGTTCTTAAATAAAATGTTTARCAATGATCCCAGTCCGGGATCTGAAGATCTGGGACCACTTCAAACACAGAACACCGGCATAGAAACCATATCTAGTACAGCAGTGGTCCTCAAACTACGGCCCGCGGGCCGGTCCCCATTTGGTCCGGCCCCCAGAACAATACCAGAGAGCATTTTTTTTCATATATGTGTATTTATATTTGATTATAAAGTTGGACTTTTGCAATAAAATATTCCTTAGTTATGAACTATTTTCATTATTAACTATTATTAGTTAGTAACTATTTCATACGTACACGCATATAACGTGACATTCTGTTCCACCCTTCTGCGGTCTGTGCCCCTATCTGGCAACCCCCAGAAAAAAAAATCCTAAACCCGCCCCTGTCAAAGAGAGAACAGAATAATGGTGAAAAGATTAGGTAAGAGAAAAACTGGTTCAGAATGCAGGACATTTAAGCTACAGTGGACAAACTATTATTATTTTTGTTCATCTGTCAAGAGGCGGTGGCGGTATTCAAAGAATACAATCTGCGGCGACACTATGAATCCTGTCACAAAGACAAGTATGATAGCCTGCAAGGCCAAATGCGAGCAAACAAACTCTCAAAGCTAAAAAGTGGACTGTTAGCTCAGCAGAATACAGACTGTGAAGAACCCAGAGAGGGTTATTTGATTGTGCTTTCTGGAAAACAATACATTTTTACATTTAGGCACTCCTGCAATAGTCACACTTTTTCTGTTACAAACTGACTCCGGCCCCCACCAGAGAAGGGAAAAGTTATGTGGCCCTTACAGGAAAAATTTGGGGACCGCTGTAGTACAGGTTTAATGTTCCTCATCTCCAAAGATCAGTTTCTGGGAGGTGAAGTGTCAGGTCTTTGTGTGTTTAGGATCCAGTGTGGTTCTGGTGGACTCCGTTCTGGAACCACCATSAAGGTCTCCCCTGTGGAGTCCACATTCGTCTCACTGGTTTGGTATTCCCACCATGTAGTAGATCATTCCCAGTCCAGAGGCAGTAAAACACTAAGATAAGATTAGTTTTATTGTTTTTCTCAGGAGATACAGACTCAAAGCTGCACATATAGAACCATGTTGCTCCTACGAACAGTCAGATGGATCAGGTCACCTGAGACTTCATTCAGAAATATAACGGTGCGTTCAGGGCAGGTGAAAAGCTGGGACATCTGGGCCTCAGATTTACTGRCATGTTTCTGACTCATTAAAACTCATTTATATTGACTTTACTGRGTACATCAAAACATGTCGGTTGTTCTGGAAAAACTTTCTGAAAAGTGTTGAGAGCAGCAGTGCCCTCTAGTGGCAACACCCCAGCTTTTACCAGTGGACAGTGCTCTGACCTTCATTTCAAAGATGCAGACTGAARGTTTAAACCAGTTAATTCTGACACCAAACGAAGCAGAATGAAGTTTAATCAGAGTTTTTCTGTTTTGTCCCCCTCAGAGATCTGAACTACAACAGCCTGGTGGAGTTTCCCTCAGCCGTCCGCTCCCTCAGCCACCTGAAGGAGCTGTGAGTCTCAACTTCCTGTTTGACCAACACAAACAGGAAGTACCACCTCAGWTTCTTCACTGAGTTTATCTCGTTTATCTCCTTGTGTTTTCATCGTGGTTAACTTTTGGTTTAGTGGTTTCCACAGCAACAACATCCAGTCCATTCCAGAGCACGCCTTCACTGGGAACCCATCCCTGATCTCCATGTAGGTACCAACAAACCCAACTTTACCAAGTGGTTCTGTGTGTTTTAGTTCATTTTATGTCTCTGTCATAATCCTCTTTCCTTTGGTKTCAGTTTTTTTTACAACAATCCGATCCAGTCTGTTGGACGCTCGGCCTTTCAGAACCTGCCGGAGCTCCGGACTCTGTGAGAAACATTTCAAATACAAATAACTGAAACTGTTTGTATTATTACATCATACATAGAGTTTATACAGCTTTTCACTGTTCTGTTCCACCGTTCACCATCCAACTGTCATCCAACCACCATCCAACCATCATCCAACCATCATCCATCCATTCATCATCTATCCATCCAACTGTCATCCATCCATCATCCATCCATCATCCAACCATCATCCAACCATCATCCATCCATTCATCATCTATCCATCCAACTGTCATCCATCCATCATCCATCCATCATCCAACCATCATCCAACCATCATCCATCCATTCATCAT